CGGGTCGCAGGGCGTTACAGTTATCCACCCCATAAGAAAATTTCGTCCTCGAAATTTACCTGATCACTGGTCACTGAAAAGATGGGGATAACGGGTGCGCATGGATTCCTCTGTTTCCCAGGTCGCCTCCTCAACGGTGTGACTTCTCCACAGAACCTTGACCAACGGAATGGTTTTGTTCCTCAACTGACGGATCTCCTGAGCCAAAATCTCAACCGGCTCCTCCTCATATGTAAGGTTCTCGTCGAGAGTGACCGTATCCGCTGGGATCACGTGTGAAGGGTCTGACCGGTACCTTCGGAGCATAGACACGTGGAATACATTATGAATCCTGCTTAACTCAGATGGTAAATCGATCCTGTAGGCTACAGGTCCCAAACGTTCAGTGATTGGGTATGGGCCTATAAACCTCGGACTAAGTTTTCCCTTTTTTCCGAAACGCAAAACATTCTTCCAAGGAGATACCTTCAAGAAAACCTTATCTCCCACTGCATACTCGATATCGCGTCTCTTAAGGCCGGCGTAGGACTTTTGTCGGTCCGATGCCACCTTAAGCCGGTCCTTAATTACCTGGACCTTCTCCTCGGTTTCACGAACTAGATCTGGCCCTTCCAACTTCCTCTCGCTGAGCTCCGTCCAGCAAGTAGGAGTCCGGCACGGCCTACCGTACAAAGCCTTGTACGATGCCATACCGATGCTAGCCTGGTAGCTGTTGTTGTATGCGAACTCCATCAACGGTAGATATCGCTCCCAACCATCCCCGAAGTCGATCGCACAGGCGCGCATCATATCCTCGAGGATCTGGATAACCCTCTCGGACTGACCGTCCATCTGTGGGTGGAAGGCCGTACTGAAATGAAGATCGGAGCCCAAGGCTTTCTGTAGGCTCTTCCAGAACTGTGACGTGAAACGCGGGTCACGGTCCGAAATGATAGATGAGGGAACTCCATGTAACCGGATGACCTCGCGGATGTATAGTTCCGCCAGACGCTGTAAAGGGAAATCTCGTCGTATCGGAAGGAAATGGGCGGACTTAGTCAAACGGTCCACAATGACCCAAACCGTATCGTTCTTGCGAGGCGACAAAGGTAGCCCCACCACAAAGTCCATGGTGATACGATCCCACTTCCACTCGGGAATCGTAATCTGCTGAAGTAGTCCGCTCGGTACCTGGTGCTCAGCCTTAACCTGCTGGCATGTCAAGCTTCGTGCTGTAAACTCTGTGATCTCTCTCTTCATCGCAGGCCACCAGTAATGCTTCCGGAGATCCTGGAACATCTTGTTACTACCGGGGTGCATGGTATATACCGTACCATGTGCTTCACGGAGGAGACGTTCCCTTACCTCCCCCACTGGCACTACCACACGTGCCCGATACAACAAGACACCATCCTCACGGACAGAGAAGTCGGGTTTCTCGCCCCGAGAGGCGAGCTCACAGTTCTGCCTGCAGAAATCGTCGCTGCTCTGCGCCGTCACGATCTCTTGCAACAATGTAGGCTGAACTCGGAGTACGGCTAGAGTTTTGCGACTAAGAACATCAGCCACCACATTCGCTTTACCAGGGTGATAAGCGATGTGACAGTCGTAGTCCTTAATCAACTCCAACCATCTCCGCTGTCGTAGATTCAAATCCTTCTGACTCAAGAGATACTGCAGACTTTTATGATCGGTGAAGATACGCGTCGTCTCGCCGTACAGATAATGTCTCCAAATCTTGAGAGCGAGAACGATTGCCGCCAACTCCAAATCGTGCGTTGGGTAGTTGCACTCGTGCGGCTTCAACTGCCGAGACGCATAAGCTACAACCTTACCCTCCTGCATAAGAACACACCCTAGGCCATTGTGTGAAGCGTCGCTGTATACCGTATACTCCACTCCTGGGGTCGGCTGAACCAATACGGGTGCCTGGGTCAAACACTCCTTCAGTTTCTCGAAGCTCTGACAAGCCTCGGTCCAATCAAACTTCACGTCCTTCTTCATTAACTTGTTCAAAGGTGAAGCTATCCTCGAGAAATCCTTCACGAATCGGCGGTAGTATCCTGCCAACCCGAGGAAACTCCTAACCTCTCGAGCATTGCGTGGAACCTTCCACTCCGTGACCGCCGAGATCTTACACGGGTCCACCTTCACTCCTTCAGCCGAGATGACGTGGCAATGGAAGGTGACCTCGTGCAACCAAAACTCACACTTGGACAGCTTGGCATAAAGTTTCTGCTCTCGTAGGATGCCGAGTACCGTGCGCAGGTGCTCCGCGTGCTCCTCACGCGTCTTTGAGTACACCAGGATATCGTCGATGAAAACAACCACGAACTGATCAAGATACTTGCGAAACACACTGTTCATCAGATCCATGAAGACAGCCGGTGCGTTGGTCAACCCAAAAGGCATCACCGTGAACTCGTAGTGACCATAACGCGTGCGGAACGCTGTCTTAGGAATATCCTCCTTCCTGACCGGGATCTGATGGTACCCTGATCGCAGATCAATCTTAGAGAAGACTGTGGCTCCTCTCAACTGATCAAACAAGTCATCAATGCGAGGAAGAGGATAACGATTCTTGATGGTGACTTTATTCAGCTGACGGTAATCGATGCACAGCCTCATCGAACCGTCCTTCTTGCGAACGAATAGGACTGGTGTGCCCCAAGGGGACACACTAGGACGTATGAAACCCTTATCCAAGAGCTCCTGCAGTTGAGCCTTCAGCTCCTTCATCTCTGCCGGGGCCATGCGATAAGGTGTGATGGAGATGGGTCCCGTACCCGGAACCAAGTCGATGGAGAACTCTACCTCCCTCGGGGGTGGTAGTCCGGGCAGCTCGTCTGGAAATACGTCTGGAAACTCGCACACCGTAGGGATTTCCTCCCGTCCGGGTGCCTCTAGCTGCGTGTCGCGGACGGTGCAAAGAAAGGCCTCGCATTTCTTGCGTATGAGGCGACGAGCTTGCATAAATGAGATAAATTCGGGAGCCTTCGGGAAAAGCTCGCCACGAATCAGAACGTCATTACCATCTTCGGCTTTCAGTTGTACCGTATGTGCGCCACAATCAACAATGGCTTGGTTGGCTGTAAGCCAATCCATGCCCAGGATAACATCGAATTCTCGATGGGGGAGCTCTATCAGATTTGCAGGGAAGCTCTTCCCTTGCACAACTAGCGGACAGTCAGGATAGATATATTTGAGACATAGACTGTGTCCCAACGGATTGGACACAATCACTGGATTTTCCAGGTTCTCTCTCGGAATATTAGACGATACAGGCATAGATGCACACAGATATGACAATGTGGAACCTGGGTCAATCAAAGCAGATATGGATGTATCGAATAAGGTGAACATACCCATAATCACATCATGAGCGGCCTGCTCAGTACGTCCATGCATCGCATAAGTACGGGCTGGAGCCTTCCCGGACTGAGCGCTCTGTGCCGGCCTTCTCATGTGACTGGACGCTGCTACCGACTTCTGACTCGGTGCGGGTTGGGCTGCTGGAGTTGAGGTTGCAGCTGCGGGCGCTGTCGGGAACGCCTCACCAGGGTTCGTCGGGCAGTTCCTGCGGTAATGCCCGGCCTGTCCACACCCAAGGCATAGGCCCTGAGTGAACCAGCACTCGCCAGAGTGCCTCCGGCCGTAGAGGTTGCAGATCAAGTTCCGATATCCGCTCTGACTCTAGCTCTTCCCACTTTTCTGAGTGGGTGCTGACGACGCGGCTGGTGCGGACCTAACCTTCTTGCTCGAGTGCGAGCTGCTCGGTATGTGAGGAGGCCTCTTGCTGCTCGAGCCGGATCTAGATGGCGGTGGCGGTCGAGGATGCGTCGTCTGTGACTGCTCATACTCAGCCTTCCTGAGTAAGGCCGTCTGTAACTCCAACGCCTGCTTGTACAAGTCGTTGATGTCATTTCTCGGTGCGGAGACCAGTCCGAAGGACAAATAAGGGCGTAACCCCTCCCTAAAGCGCTTGCACCTCTTCTCCATTGTCGGCACCAAGTCCCGACCAAACTCGGCCAGCTCATCGAACTTCTGGCGATACTCTGGCAGCGTAAGTTCACCCTGCGTGAACTTCATGAACTCGTCACGCTTCTCCTCCATGAAGTGCTCGGGCACATACTCTTCACGGAAGATCTCGTCGAAGGTCACCCACGGCACCGGCTCCGGGATGTTCGCTCCTGCGCGTTTCCACCAGTCATAGGCGGCATCCTGAAGTAAGGCGATGGCTAGGTCGCCTCTCTGCTCTGCTGGAACTCGTAAGGTCCCAAGTACTCAACTCACACGCTCGAGCCAGCGCTTCGCGGCCATGGGTTCCGCGATCTGGTCACCACAGAACTCCTCAGCTCCGTTCTTCTTCAGCTTCTCAATCGTGACCACCACCACAGGAGGTGGCGGTGGCGGTGGTGGTACATACGCCCCGGCCATCTGCTAGAGGAACTGGAGCATGTTGGACGCAATCTGCGGCTGCAAATAAGGAACCGCCTGTGGCACAGCATTCGGTTGTGGAACCTGCGGCTCCGGAACTTCGTGCTGCGGTGTGAAGCTAGACGCCTCGGTATGCACACTCACGTGCTCCTGCTCTCCCTGAGGACCAACTTGTCCATGCTCGGGAGCTTGACTCATCTCCTTTCTGGAAGGAGATTTCCTATCAGGTTAAGTAATAATAATAATAATAATAACTCAGATGATACGGTTACCTTTCCCGGTGGAGATACGAACCGGGATACGACAGTGGGTTCTGAAGAGTATGTTTTTTTTTCCAAAAATTGAGTTTCAAAAGCTTTTTTTTTAGAACCGTAATGGGCTCTGATACCAAAATGTAACACCCTCCGTCCCGCGAACCCGGTTCACCGCGGTCCAACGTGCCAGAGAGGTTACGTAGACGGTTTTAAGGCCGTCTACAAGGAAAACCCCTTGCGTGGCTTGTAACGGAAAACCCTTGACATGCTTTATTAAATGATGAGGATGGATTCACTTAAGAGAAGTTTATAGCGGAAGTAAATGTAAGTAAAACTGTTAGGTCATAAATAACATAAATGCGACAAAAGGTGGGTTCATGCCCAAAACGTTCCCATAAATTAAATAAGTAATTTATCCGGCCTGCACTGTCGTTCATCCGCAGCTCCTATCACCCAATCATCCGGGTCAGGCTCCATGGTTCTCTTGCCTACCTGCGTATAGCAAAGGGAAAACAACG